GGGAACTGATAAAACTCCTGGAGAACTGAGGAAAGGTGAATCATCCCATAAGCCTTAATCAAAACACTCTTTAAAGAAGCTTCCTGCAGGAAGGCGACACACATAGGACACCCTGACGACAGGCTGCAGCGCTCTACTCTCTCGTATGGAAAAAGCTGTTAGACCTGTGGCAGCTGCTGCACGTGTTCAGACGCTGAATCATGGCTAGCAGGAGCTGAAGATGCTGGCCACAGAAGCAGTGCAGGAGCAAGAGCGCGAGGAAGCTACTGACTTCTGCAGTTTGAAATGTTTAGAAATGGATTAAATGTTGAGAAAACTACAGCGACCTCATATAAAATGATGGGAGCCAGATAGAGTCCTGGGTCTGACCTCTCTCCCCATACACAACCTAGGCAGCCCTCTGTCCTGAGAGTAAACAGGCTTCCTCTGAAGCCAGAAATCTGAACCACCAGTTGTGGCTTATCTGAGAATCCCCCTCCTTTGCTGTAACTGCAGAACTTCATTATCAAAAAGTCAAAGATTTAACCATGCCCATCATATCTCCCACAACCCAAACATACACAGTTAACACTTTCAAAATGTAGAATATCTTTTCAATCTTTTTTTTTTCCATTTTTTCCATTAATGGTTGTAACTTGATTACAGCTGTGTCACTGTCTGTGACCTCAGAGCCTCATTCAAATAGGCTGCACCAAACAATTTTCTTCCTTGGCCTGTCACAACATTTCAAAGGGCACCCTTGGGAACTCAGATATAGACCAGGTATTTTGAGGGTGTTTTTTTTGCTCTAACAAAAGCTAGTGTAGACATTAGCCTAACATAAACTAAGAGGAAAATCTGGACTACCTTAAGTGAAGTTTAAAAGTACATCAGAGCAAAGGCTCGTGTATTCAAAGTTCTCCTTGCAAACATATTTTTCTCAGGCTGTGTTAAAAAGCCTGTAAAACATGGAGGTGTTCTCCAGTGTTGTTAGAGGTGTTCTCCAGTGTTGTTACAAGGCTTGGCTAATTTGCTGAGATGAAAAGCATGAAAAGCAGTGCACTGGCAACACAAGCAAGGCTTGGCTAATTTGCTGAGATGTCACATGAAAAGCAGTGCACTGGCAACACAAAGCATGCGTTCTTGGCTGAAGAAGTGCGAGTACCTACAGCTTATGTCAAACAGTGAGGGAGCTGTGGAAAACACGAGCAGCTTCCAGCTTACTGGGACAAATCAAGAACTTCAAATTCAGTCCTTGAGAAAGCCAGATGCAACTGCTTTCATTTCAGCTACCAGTATCATTTGCTAGTTGTATTGACAGTGCTGACAGAAGTCCTTGAAGTCCTCTACAGATCAAAGCCAGGGTTGGGAACAGTACTCAAGTCACACAAGCCCCAATGACTCTCTTCAGCTGGGCCAGGGGTCACTTTTGCCACCAGTGAGGGTACAAGCCAAGTTTGTTTCCAAAATGCCTCAAATTGTTACATTTTCTTTTGGTATATTTTTATTATTTCATACAGTTTCCCCAAGATTTTGGTTTAATGTTGATACATGAAAACACAAATGGCTTTTTAAAATCTGTTTCCTTCTTGTGATATTACAACTGGTTAACTTCATATCATGGAACATTACATACTGTGCCAGAAATGTTGTGGGAATATAATCATCATCTTCCTCTATTTGCCTTTTTTTGGATACTTTTCATCTGACAGATGCTAACATAGTCAGCTTACTGATATAAATCTCTGTTTCGCTATTTGCAGTACCCATTTCCAATATATAGACCCATTATTTGCAGTATCTACTCCCAGCTTACCACCCCCAAAGCCACAATTTGCATGATTCTTAGAGAAGCTTACCATTCAATAGCCACCAAAGCAAAGGAATAAAACCTGGACTTTCACTGATGTACTTCAAGCCTTTCAAGTTGATGCTCACATTGTAAAGTGACATTAACATTAGCCTAAAATTGAAAGGAAAAGGAAGTGAATTTCTTTGCATCTTTTGCTGTTTACAACAAGGTACAGAAACCTATACTAATAATGCATAAGTTGATAAAACAGACCACAGCACATACGTGCAACATTGTGCAAAACACTGCTGCTACTGTTAAATCATTTAAGTCATGAAGAAAAAGACAGATCTGACAGCAAAATAGTCTCATCAAACTCCACGAGATTCAGTACATGAAATGTGCTAAAATGAGCATCCAGTCTATACAAGAGTTTTCTTAGCAAGGGTTCCCACTGAAAAGGCGATCGTCTCAAGTAAACTGCTTTTCTTGACAAGTAAAAGGGCTGATAGGAAACACAAAGACTGTACACCTGGTGCAAGAAACAACGTCAAAGGAAACATGTGCTCCATATTGTTTGTTCTGCTGCACGAGCTTTTGTGTACACCGACCCTTCAGTCGGCTGAAATCCAGACACACTGCTCAAGCCATCCTCTTTCGAGTACCCTCCGTGGCCTCCTGCAAGTGGGAAGAGATGCAATACACAGGCAACACACAGCAAACAGCAGAGGAAGGCTGACAGAAGTACTCGGAGGAAGGGGAAGGGCCTCGAGGAGGGCAGAAAAAGGTATCAGCAGTCACAATGTGGCACTCTTCCTCCTAAGCCTGGCTTGTCCTCTCCGCTATGGGTGCAGAGCAGAGGAATGGCTGATTCCGCCTGCTTCCCAAGCCCACAAAGTGAGACCCTGCTGTGAAAAAATGAATGCTTCTCTCCTAAGTCATCACGGACTTTGCTACTTACTCTGCCTTGAGGAAGCCCAGCTGATTACAGGTGAAAAGACTTTCTGGCTTTTTCTTATTTTAAGTCACCAACTGGAATTCAATCTGGCCAGAGACTGTGCTCTTATCTGAGCTCAGACACCAGGATAACACAAGCCAAGTGATACTCTCACCCACACTTCTTCAAAACCACTATTTCCAAACTACATTTGAGCAAATTCAAAGCCTCTCATTTTCTCTTTTCTCTCTTTTCTTTCTTTCCCAGAGGTGACTTCTTTTTGGTCTTTTATTACTGTTTTTGACGCTGAAGGACAGAACCTATATCCTGCCTTTCAAGTAACAGGGAAAATCTATGGGCTGCTGACTAGAAAACATTCCCATAATTAAGAACTGAAAAAATCTGACATTTCTGATAAACAGAAATTCAGACTGTCACTTACAGTCACACTGCACTTGAGTGTTTAAATGGCACAATAAAATTAGCCATAGTAGGTATATGCTAATTTCAGCTACATTTTCAAAAGCTTCCCAAAAGAGGCTTTCTTACTTTATCACCTTTCTAAAACAGGAAGTTCATTAGCTATCTTTTGGGGCTGCATGCATACCAAGTTATAAATTACAGCAAAGGGAAGAAAAACACATTTGATGGAGGAAGATCTGTATTTTAAAAAGATTACTCTCGCCTGCCTGTTCCACCAGATTCTCCTAGGAGGTCTTACACAGAGGTTCCTGCAAGCAGGAAAAGCTCCAATATGGTGACTAATTTGAAAAACCTGAGACGCATCAGGAAAAGGGAGTTGACTGCAAGTGCCAGCTTAGCCTTGGCTATGACAGTGCCGAGGTTGTAAGACACACAGAGCTACCCACAGCAAAGGCACCTCTGCCAGTTTACGCAGATAGGGCACCCAAGTCAGAGATTATTTTTAGCTACTTGACACTGCTGGACAAGAACAGTAACTTTCAACTCAGAACGAGTCTCTCCTTTCAAAGCTTTCCCAAAGAACTACTAATACTTGAAGGAGATTTTGTTGGTACTAAGCCTT